TCATGCTTTAAATGTGTCTTCATTGTGAAATTTCAACAGGTATAAAAATTTTTGACCTTGACCCTAGAGTTTGATCCACTTTAAAAAAAACTTAAAACTTGGGAATAACTTTTAAACAGGAAGTACTAGGGACTTCTGTCTTATTTCACAAGTATATTTCTTGAGGCAAGACTTTCCTTTTGATACCAATAATTTTGACCCTTTGACCTTGGAGTTCGACTTACATTTTAGAAACTTCAACTTTCGCTAAAAAGCGTAAAAGATGAAATACGGAGCATCACAAACATGAGTTTTTGGAATTTTAATTTTGCCCTGGGGGGTCAAATGGGGGTAAAAAAAAAATGTCGTTTTTTAAGCAAAACGCCCCGTCTTCCCTGAACTCCTCCTACATTTTACACAGTAGCCTAATCATCTTTTGGGTGATGGTTGGTGGTCCAAAACCTTACTGCACATATACGACACCATCAACCATCTTCCAAAAGATGACTAGGCTACTATGTAAAATGAAGGAGGAGTTAAGGGAAGAAAAGTGTGACACACGGACGGACGGAGGGACATGAGTAACAACAATATACCCGAACTTTCTTTAGAAAGTGCGGGTATGAAAAAGCTGTTAACTTGGATGCGATGTCTATGTAAGTATTTTATTCATTAACTATCCGTACATTCTCCAGACAAATGAAACTGTCGTGTGTTTTTTTCCAGATTCATTAAAATAGTAATGAGAGGACCCTAATAAATCGATTGATTGCAAGAGCATACCCTGAATGAATACTGTCAAGTTTCTACACATTAACTCAAGAAGCATTAAGATATTTGAAAAGTGCTGCGAACCTCATGAAATCTTGTAAATCAAGTAGTTGACCAGCAAAATATTAAATCTGCCGTCCAACAAAATAAAATTTCAGCAATTAAAAAAAGGGAATCTATATAGGTTCGCAGCACTTTTCACAAAGTATACATAGTGTTGAAAATTATTATAAATTAAACGAAGATTTTTAAATTGGTTATGCCCTTGCAATATTGGAATTTATAGATGACCTCTAAACTGCAAGTATAATTGCTAAAATCATGTGACCTCGACATCACGTGACAAGTCTTAATAAAAAATAAATGTCCCCAACATATAGATTTAAACGACGTTACATTTTTTTTTATATCAGAGAAGTCCTAAAAAGAATCGCCCATCGAATAAAGTATGTATTTTTTATCTTAAAAAATCACCAATATCTCCATTTGTAACCTAAACTGTGCTGCGTATAGTAAACTATAGTTAACTATAGTTTACTAAAGTATTTTTTGTTAGATATTGCACGTGTTGTATGAAAAAACCACTTAGCTGGTCATAAACATGAAGGAGAGATTATGTTTGCTTTCTACATTTCTAGAGCGCTGATCTTCTATGTAAGTCATTTTGAATACGACACAGACTTTAATGGTCATTGTTTTATATGGTCTTTGTTTTACTTTAAAATTTCAGTTACAATATACATGTATTACGAATGCAGCAAAGTTAGCATATCCTGTCTTATTGGGAGAATGTTCGGGATATTTTTCGTAGAGATTATTTAACTGTTTAATACAGAAATCAAAAGATAGAATTAAATGTTTTTTGCAATCCGTTTAAGAAAAAATTATACAAACAAAAAACGGATGCCTGGACTGATATATATTTTCTTGGCGTAATTTCGTTGAAAATGATGTTTTCTTCATTTCTACAATCTAGATTATAACGAGATTGTAAACCTTCTAAGATGTTCAAAGTTCTGTCTCTCTTAAACCATCCTTATTAATCTATATAAATATTTTTGAGTTCAAATCCCATTTCTGTGATAATTTGAATAAAAAATTAAAAACTACGCGGTAAAACCCATTCGTTTTACTCATTAAAACACGACTCAATTATTTTAAAAGTTTTTTTAAAAAGTTTGTTTGCATCATCTGTCCTTAATATTGATTCATATATTCATCCGAACATTTTTCAAAGTAAAATGTAACCGTTTAGAAGGCTAGCACACTTCACTATTTTTTCAAATATTGCACTATTTTTCGTGGTAAGATATCGTTTATTTTGAGTGTTTTTTAGTTGGAATGATTATTATAAGTCATGAGGAAATGTTTAAACTATATAATAAAGGAGTAATTGAACTTATATTGGTGAATATTGTCATTCCTTGGCTGTACAAATGCACTCGCAAGTTCGTGCACTTGTACAGCCAATTTGCGCCAATATTCACCAAAATAAGTTCAATGAGCCTATAGTATTTTTATTTGCGAATAATGTTTAACACTTTTTAAATCCCTTAAAGTCTGCAATTTATTAGTCGATATTTTTATGAAAGAAATTTATATAGTCAATACAATGACACAAACTGACAGTATTAGAAGATTGAAGTTGCTTTTTCAAGTTCCCATATTTATCTTGATTATATTTAGATTAGATTTAATATTATAACATATGCAATTTACATTGACTTCAGTTAAAATATTATCAAGATATGTTAAGGGAGAGTCTAAAAATACAGGTACATTGCCTATAGGAATACGTTGGAGAGTGCAAATTTTCAGCACTTCAACGCAAATTATAAATACTACAAACCACATTTTGCTCAATTTAAAATATGTGATGATTAGATTTTTATTGTACATCATATCTATTATAACTGGGTCAACCTCATTCCGGACTCCAGCCTATGATGACTGTTTATCACCCCTCAATATTATAACAGGGTTAACCTCATTCCGGACTCTAGCCTATGATGACTGTTTATCACCCCTCAATATTATAACCGGGTCAACCTCATTCCGGACTCCAGCCTATGATGACTGTTTACCGCCCCTCAATATTATAACCGGGTCAACCTCATTCCGGACTCTAGCCTATGATGACTGTTTATCACCCCTCAACCATCGAAGTTTGAGGAGGCAGAGTCCCGAATGACATTGGGCCGATCATAAGTTTGTTCATTTACACCCGGGATCTTGTTTATTTCAGTGAGAGGACATCCCAAGTGGAATAACTCTTATAATCCTTGAGCTGGGTCGGAATAACTCAATTCAGCTTTTGAATTTTATTAGATCATTCTTTGCGAAAGGCAATTCCTTTTTACCCTGAGGACCTTTCCTGACCAGAGCGGCTCACAGGCTCTAGTTCCCAACCTGTATAAAATGAAGCAGAGACAGACACAATCCGTTTATTTTATAATTACAATAAATAATTTTACACACAATACTAAATATTATAATAAAGATTACTGTGTTACAATATAAACTATTCAAACCTGAAAATAAAATAAATCATCTGAAGACTTAATAATTTTACAAAATCGCGCAAGTCTACCAAATAATCTTACTTGTATAAAATGAAGCAGAGACAGACACAATCCAGCTCTTGTCTGGCGTATGTCCGTCGTCCGCTCGTTTTATACCTCAACCCTTACTCCGTTTTTCATCTCCATATTTGGATCGCCTTCAAAATTTCCAATAATTACTTTAACTTCAACCTTGAATTTTTAACTATCATCACTCTGTCCTCCAACACTCTTAGTTTACTTATGCGTTTTAAAAATTACTTTCTGTCTCTTGCAAATTCTTTTAATTTCACTTGGTGTATTTTATTTATTCGAACAACTGACCCCTGGTCACTTAAATGTTATTGGTCGCTCCTTCCTCCTAACCAAATACATCTTTTCATAAACAAGAAAAACTGCATTCCAATGATTCATTTCTTGGAACCGTCCGGGTTAAAGTTCAACTCCTATTGGTTCGCATCTTTAATTGCATTTATCTGTTCGCGCCCGTACATGTATGTGCTATCTCTGTAAGCCAAATAGTGCAAATCCATCAAATATGTTAACTTCTTATTTTTACTGCAATTTTTGTTCTGATATATTTACTATACAAAATACATTTAAGAAACACAAAACGCAGTCGTCTAGATTTAGAGGAGAGCATCTCAAAATGTCAAAGTGTACAACATTTTATGTCATATTGCACAAATAGAAAAAGCAAAAAAAAAAAAATTAAAAAAGAGCATTCTTTCAAAGATCGTTTAATGGCGTGTATAAATATTTTTTTTTTCTAAAAGATCTGGTGCATGTAATTAAACATAAATAGTATCGGATTTCTTTCCCGTCGAAGACTAAAGTGAGACATGTTTGTCGGTGAAACATTCTAACCATTTCATAAAAAGGGTTACTAATCAGGATAGTCAGCTTGGGGATAAATAGGGAATTTAACAAAAGTTAAAAACGTATAACCGTTTTACTGCTTTTTAAGCTACTTTCCTATATAAGATATGTAAATTGTACATTGTGTTAAATATACTTTCTAAACTTCGAAATTTAAGCTATAACAACTTTTTTTTTCTAGTTCATTGAACCTATCACGCCAATTTAATAGAACACTCCAAAGAGAAGGCGCGAAGATTTACTCGTGGTGTTCAGCGCGAAATTATGAATTGTGACTCGCCATTCATAATTCTTAAAAAGAAGTACTGTTGCAGAAGCATATGAAAGTACAGTTATAGCATGGGTCCCAAAAGCATAATGGATAGTGCGCTTGGAAAACGCGTCGGATTTTTACGCTGGCGACCCGGGTTCAATCCCCCTTGTGACCAATCTTTTTCCTCAATTTTTTAGCTCGATTTCACGATTTTTTTCCAGAATCGGACGGAAGACCTCTCGTTGCTCGCAACAAGATCCTTTCCAGTTCTTTGTATATTTACTAGATTATGGTATGTACGATAAGATTTCATCTTACATATTTGCCATTGCGAGCTTTATTAAGAGAATAAAGCATTTGTCCACGAACTTTTAGGACAACCCTTGTATCAAGAAGATAAGGTTTCATCATTTTAAAATATAATGCACAGTTCAAGATAATCTTTGATTATGAAAAAAAAAACAACGTTTAGTTATTGATTTTGACTACATTTGCATCACAATAAAGAGTGGTTAGAATTTTGATAATGTTCACTCCTTGAAGGATCGTCAAGTGCGATGTATGCCCCTCTTTATGTGCCGTGTATCATCCTTACATTTCTCAACTTCATCAATTCCTTTCAACAATCAACCGAGTATGTACATGTTTTTTACAATGACAATCAGATAACAACTACCAATATTCTTTTGGAATTAACAAACATTCCAAGTCTGTCGAGTTGTAGCGCTATGTGCAGGAAGCGGGCTGATTCTATCTCCTTTTTCTACAATTCCGCCATTAAGAAGTGTGTGTGTACTGGACCGGTACAACAAAGTGACCTTTTGCCCTTTTCTGGATACGTGCATTTTTCTACATCAGGTGGGGTTGAATTGTTTTATATTCTTTCTTAAGTTTCAAATTCTTGTAACTTATTTAAATTGATTAAACAATCCAAATGTTTTAATTACTTTTTACTCCAGCCTTTGGATAACGTGCAAACAAAGTCGTTTTCAAGAATTTTTTATAAGGACTTCTCAATAAAAAGAGAAAAGAGCGAATTAAACGCTAATAAATTACATGTAACTATGTTTGATATAGTGTTTTATAGGTTCCAGAGCTTTGTAGAGGATGAACATAGGTTTAACATTAAAATTCATGAAGAATAAATTCTTGAAAAACAACCGTCACGTAACTTTTTGGATTTTTTTGTTATAAATTTAATGTTCTATCATCTTCCGCTACATTTCAGGATACAAAACACATTTTTAAGTATTTGTTCGGTATGTACTTGTGTACGAGTGTATTGAAAAATATAATGTATCATTGACTGAAAAAACCTACATAAGAAACATGTATGAATTATTTAAATTTCTTTGATAGGTGTTTCTCCTTGGAAAATGTTCGGTAAATCCCAATATTTGCATATCAAAGATAGAAAGAAGTGGCTGGACGCACAGGTACCGTTTATCACCAATTTAGTATGGGCATTTTTTTCTCCATTGCGACTCTTTTTAAACATATAAACCATAAGACAATTTCATTTTAAATCAGACAATTAAAAAAAAAATAAATAAAAATAAATAAAATAATTGCTAAATAAAAATTGTTGAAAATTAATTAAATCTACATATTTCTCATTTGCGCTCCATTTAAAATTTTCATGCAAGATGAATTATAACAAATGTCTTAATGTCCAAGATACAATTCAAATTGTTTAAAATACGTGTCGATTTATGATTGAATTTTACATTTAAGATCTTATATGGCGCATTATTTGTAGAATTGAAGAGTTGCCTTGAAATAATCCATTTTTACATGTAGGATTTCACAATATTGTTGCAAACGCTGTTGAGTACTTTTTATTGCCTTAAATGTATAGGTAGGTTGCAAGAAACAAAATGTTCACGTTTCATAAATTTAACCCAAAATCTTTTTTGAACATAGGTCCCACCTAAAAAAAAAAAAAACTACGCAGCACAGTTAAGGTATCAAAAAGGGGACGGAACCTATTTTGTACTGGCAATCTTGCCAAAAATTGAATGACATCATACAAAATATGTACTGTTTTCCAAATATCAACAAATAATATTTGACAAAATATGCTTCATACAACAATTCTTTAAAATACAACAAAACGAGGTGAATTTCTATTTAACCTGCAAGAAATCATCAAACTACGTCAAAACGTACTATATATAGTTTTCGATACTATATAGTTTTCGATAGACCTTAATTTAGCAAAAGTTACCTCCCGTTAGCCGCCATACTGGAGGTCCAAATACTCATATTGCTTCATTAATCAACCAATTTTAAATTTTTATATTTCCGATTTTGAAGTAGAAATCATTATTTTTCTGAAGTATATAAATTTTTGGAAGCCTCCTTTATTTAAAAAATTAATAAAGATTTTCCACCAAGTATTTCTACTATATTATCTTAAACTTGGTAAGACAAAGAAGGAAACTCGTCGAGTCGACCTCCAATATGACGACCAACGGGAGGTAACTTTTGCTGAATTTAGGTCGATCGAAAACTATCTATAGCATGCTGTTTTGTCGTTCGTTAAATCCCACATAACAATTTATAAACAAGTCACTGATCGTAATCCACTTTCCAATATGACTTTTTTTTGTAAAACGTACGTAGTTTGTATGCAGTGAGAGGCAGATAGAGCAATATTTTCTCAACGAAAAATTTATTCTATGACTTAACAAAATATTATTAACCAATATTCTATAGGCTATTAACTTGGATTCAATGTCTTCTTTTGGAGTTTTATTTTCCGTATATTACGTATTTATTGACAGTGCAGTATACTTGTATGCAAACACATTGAAAGGTAACGTGGGGGTCCTAGTAAATCGATCTAGTGCAAGGGCATCCACTCAACGGATCATAGTAAGCTCTTACAATTTAACTTTAAACGTACACTGTACATGTAATAATGTATCTAAAAAGTGCTGCGATCCTGATGAAATGATTTTATTATATTAATATTTCATGCCCTGGACCAGCAAAAAAATCAGCTTTCTATCATACAAATACAATTTTAACAATGAAATTGCAGAATTTAGATAAGATCGCAACACTTTTGTGAAGATACAATGCGTGTTGAAAATATTTATAAATTATACTCGGGATTTTAACTTGGTTATGCCCTTGCACTAGTGTTATTTATAGGTAACATCAATACCGCAATTAAATATGCTAAAATCTCGTGACTGCCGCATCACGTGACAAGTCTAAATAAAAAATCTAATCGTCCACAATATGATGTTATTAACCAATCTACAATCATCAAATATAAATAATGTGCTGAAAATAATCGCCATCCCGATAATGAATACATTTTTAATTACAAAATCGGTATTTCCATTACGCACCTTACCTTAACTGCGTAATTGACAATTCTGTGTGAATATAAAAATGTTGAACAAAATGTATTACGACCTACTCTATTTTATATCTAACACGTTTTAAAAAAAAAAAAAATGCGAGAAATATTGACTTTGAACTCCAAGTGTTAGCAGCATATCAGTAAAATTTCACCGTTTTCTTCTTCTTTTTTTTTTTTATTAAAATCTCTTTTAACACCTCTGTGTTCTTTATTACTTTTTTTTTCAAATAGAAAAGAACAAGTCTCAATAAGCCATCATCTGTGGTCCCCGGATACTCGTTAATTTTTAAACTTTCATTATAAACCTTAAAAATTACATTATATTATTCTCTTATGTCTGTAGTATATGCGTCAGGGTTCAAAAATATCAAATAATTGTAATAGACGACACGCGAGGCTGTGTTGTGAAGGTAGGGTCCTTTGATTTTCATGAATATCAAAAGAAATTTGTGACAGGTACCCACTTCACAGCTTTCGTAGACATCGAGCGCAAGTTTGTTCAAAGTCGAGATCGAAATATAATGTGTATATTATATTTATAAAGGTTGTGTGAAAATATCTTTGTTGAACAACCTCGCGCTCTACGTTTTCTACTAAAAAGTATCATGATTTTGAATCTGTTCGGTGAGTACATTTACATAGGATTAACTTCTTGATGACCTACTAAGAATAGATAATATGTCAAGTGAATCCGTATCGTCACAGGTGAATACCTCTTGAAAGCGTGTTTACTTTCTGAAGCAACACATGTAGCTTGCATTTGAAAACTACAATCAACCATTTTCATTTTTTTAAATTTAAAACAAAGTTCTCACTATACTTCGATAAATATCATTTATGTTATACCGTGGACTTTGATGATTTTCCGGGACATGTTTTAATTCTTATGCATGTAATCGCAATTTTCTCAAGCATTGTCATTGCGAAGAGTACACGAATCAATATAGTAGTATTATATAAATACACATTTAAACAATTTCTTGCGAAAAAAAAACACGCAAACAGTTCAAAAGAACTTACAATTTCTTCACATTTAATCTAAACAAATACATGTACACTATACTAAGTAACCACTTGAATATCCAAAGAAACTTCACACTCTATTCACATATTGGGCTATAAATAAACTCGGAAAAATTATTTGAATGTGTTAACAGAATGCAACAAAGAAGATGATTATTGAGTTTGGATTTTATCTCCCAATCTTGGGAACTTTATTATGAGACAGAAAGAATCCGTGTGAAATATATAATAATAATAATGTTTCTTTATTCCAACAACTGTATTTGAAGTGTATAATTATGTATTTTTACACGTCATGTATTGATCAATTAAAGATAGGTAAATCAGAATATTCATTACAGCATTTAGTGCGAAATTCAGAAATTCATAACATGTCAGAAAGGTAAGTATCAGGGGGAGGGACGACACCTTGTTCCTCCCTAAAAAAATGTGATACGCCTTTACGCTGTTACGATATGAATAAATACACATTAGTGTTAATTATTTTCTAAACAAAATAAGTAAAAGTTTGACTCCCGCTCCTACATAATCATTTTTTTTTTGAGTTTGGAAACTGGGTTCCTCTTTTTTATCAACTTTTGTATATTTATCTATTCTTGTTCATTTTTTCTCACCTCACCCCCCCCCCCCCCGCTTTACAAACGAAAGGAGCGTATTACTGTGTGTATTTGCCGTAAATTAATGTTCGCTCGTTTGCAATTTTGAATGATAAAATATATAAGAAAAAAATTAATTAAGTGGTAAAAATGCTTTGATAGTTGAATTCACAATGATAGATTATAAAAATTTAAAACATGATTAGGGGATTTTCAAAACTCCGACTAAAAATACCTGAAGAACGAAAAGAAGACCCCCACCCACTCCAAGTTAAAAAGAATCTGAATAATATGCAAAATAAAAAAAAACAAAAACAAACATCAATGTTATTATATTTATCTTATCTCACGCTACAGCTCACAATGTCTTTCTTTATATAGTACCTGATTTAAATGTCTCCGCCCATTTTCATGTAATAAAGAAACCGTACTCTGTTCGAAAGAAAATGTTCCGGAATTTGTATGAGCGGTAGGTGTTGGAAAATGGCTTGTAATTCTTGATATTCAAACTTATTGATAATGATTGCACAACATTTCAATTAGAAATACTATGTTATAGAGCATGAAAATAAAAATAATTCCGTATCCTCAGGTATACTCTGTAAAATAAGGGTGAAAAAAGGGACCAAGCTACTATACTTAAGTGGAATACTCCTTTTCTATAAAATAACATCCCTGGAAAGACACAAAACAAAAAGATAGAAATCTTAGCTTAATAATGTATAGGTAAAACATGCATGAATAACGTCAGGTGCTTGTTAAGATTATGCTTCATTAACTATTATTTTTCAACTTTTGTACTAGCACT